TGTCTTAGGCAAACAACAAAGCGACCGGATCAGTCTGAAGGACCTCATCTTCAGCCCCACTACAATGTCTTAGGCAAACAGCAAAGCGACCGGATAAGTCTAAAGGACCTCATCTCCAGCCCCATTCAGATCATCGCGTGCAAATATCGCGATTTTTACCACAGGTAGATGAATTATCATGCATAATAGATTACCATTTTTGGTTTAGTTAAAGTCCTGAAAAAAAAAAAAAACATACACACAAGTCTAAGTCAGACACATCAAACGCCAGGTTTATATAGATAGGGACTTAGTACGATTCTAATGGCATAGTGTCGGCCTACGTCTGAGTTCCCTGCCTCCAGAGTCCCGCCTGGGCTCCGGAAGAGCTCCCGCAATCGGTGGGTCAACCTCCCACAAAGGCCTTTATGCGGTCCTACGAGTTGCAATCCCGCCTGCCGCCTTCCTCTCCAAACAGAGACTAGACTTAGAGGAAGAAGGATAAAAGAAGAAAAGTCAGACGCTCGAGATGCGAGAAGGGGCCAACTCAACTCACATGAGAAGACCTCGTTATCTTGATGCACTTGAGGGCCCCTCTCCTCTAAGTTGACGTTGTACTCTCGTTGCAGAGTCTGACCAACCCCTTAGGGTCTCGATGTCTAGCCCCTGATAGAACAGCCGATACGTAGTCTAAAAGGGTTACGTTCGAATTGAGTACCCCTCTGAATTTTATTCGAGCGCACGTGTAAACGCAACAATACACAGTAGCAAAGCTCAACAACAAGGTATTTTAGTGCCAGCCTCTATCCGATGGTAACAATGCTCGTCTTGTTAGTAGCAGGCAAGTCTACCCTCAGTGGCTGACCTCCTGTGTGAGTAATACACCGTCCAACAGGTTAGTCTTCAGTACTCCGCTGCCCTCGAGCTACTTCCTGCGACCGTATGAACATGCACGGTCCAACAGGTAAGTTCACAGTCCGTTGTTGGTCCCACGCCGCTTCCTCAGACTGTCTGAGCATGCATGGTCCAACAGGTAAGTTCACAGTTCGCTGCTACTCTCACGCCGCTCCCTCAGACTGTCTGAGCATGCATAGTCCAACAGGTAAGTTCACAGTCCGCTGTTGGTCTCACGCCACCTCAGACTGTCTGAGCATACGTAGTCCAACGGGTAAGTTCACAGTGTGCTGCTACTCTAACGCCGCTCCCTCAGACTGTCTGAGCTACACACTGTCTAACAGGTAAGCCTCTATAATTTTTTCTCTCTCTCACCTTCGCACATGTCTGCGGATCATGGCTCAATACTCACCAAATGTGTAAA